TCAGGCCAGATGGGCCTTGTTCTTGTCGCGGTTCAACTATGTGGTCTCCTATTTGCCTGGTTCCAAGAATGTTCAGGGCTGATGCATTATCGTGGCAATACTCTGAGTTGTCCAGGGAGGACTCTGAGCCAACCTCGGTCATACCTCCGGATCAGATCCTGGCTGCCATTCGTACCAGTCTGACTTCTCCCCCTTGGGGAGCAGATTTTGGCGGCTCAAACTGACGCTCCCTCCCGAGAGACCAGAGGGTAGATGTTTTGTACCCGAGGGGTTGCGCACCCGTCTGCTGCGTACCTACCATAACTCCAAAACTGCCGGGCATCCGGGGAGGAACCAGTTGTCTTGGGTCGTCTCTCGGTTGTTCTGGTGGCCAACTCTCCGTGCCAACATCGCCTCTTATGTAGCGGCATGTTCGATCTGTGCCCAGAATAAATCTCCACGGCATCTTCCAATGGGTCTTCTGCAACCCATTCCCAATGGGGAGCGTCCTTGGTCACACCTGGGCATGGACTTTATTGTAGACCTCCCTGTGTCTCGGGTCATACGGTCATCTCATGGTCATCGATCGTTTTTCCAAAATGTGCCATTGTATTCCACTCAGGAAATTACCAACAGCTCAAGAACTGGCCACGGTCTTTTCCAGGGAGATTTTTCGCCTGCATGGGTTGCCCAAGGTGATTGTCTCGGACCGTGGGAGTCAGTTCTTGTCCAGATTCTGGCGCGCCTTCTGCTCCCAGTTGGGTATTAGTCTCTCTCTTTTTTCAGACTACCACCCGCAGTCCAATGGGGCTGCGGAGCGTTCCAATCAGGCCTTAGAACAATTCCTTCGGTGTTATATCTCGGACCATCAGGACGATTGGGCCGATCTCCTGCCTTGGGCAGAGTTTGCCAGGAACTCAGAGGTCAACTCCTCCTCCGGGATGTCCCCCTTCATGGCCAACTATGGGTACCAACCCGCGGTATTACCTGAGAGGTTCTCACCGCAGGACATTCCGGCTGTGGAGAACCATCTTGCTGCCCCTGCGTTCTTTATGGGGGCAGATCCAGAGGGCTTTGAGGGACTCGGCTCAGCGTCAGAAGTTCCAGGCTGATCGCAGACGGTTGCCCGCTCCTTCATACCAGGTCGGCGATCGGGTGTGGTTGTCTACTCGTAACCTCAATCTTCGGGTGCCCACACCCAAACTAGCTCCCCGTTTTGTCGGTCCTTTTCACATTCTCCGCAAGGTGAATCCGGTGGCCTATGCCCTTGCCCTTCCACCTGGGATGCGGATCTCCAATATCTTTCATGTATCACTGTTGAAACCTCTGATCAACAATCGCTTCACTACCTCTCTGCCGCGGCCCCCGTCCCATTCGGTTTGACGGTCATGAGGAGTATGAGGTGAGCCGGATCCTGGACTCTCGATTGGTGCACGGCCGATTACAGTTCCTGGTTCATTGCACGGTTATGGTCCCGAGGAGCGTTCCTGGGTTCCTTCCGCGGATGTCCATGCTCCTGCCCTCCTCCGCGCGTTTCATACCCGCTTTCCTCAGAAACCTTTTGTTGAGCCGCGGAGGGGGAGGGGCCCTTGAGAAGGATAATGGTACTGTCAAGGTCCTACCTTTTCCCAGAGGTTATGTTACTCCATGTGCTGGCATCCATCTTGGATTTCTGCTGAGCATGATGGGAATCTTTTATGCCTTCAGGTCTCTGAGGTCCATCCCCCAGAGGGGTGTGGCTGAGTACATATAAGCCTGGGATCTGCACATGCTCTTTGCACTTGTGTCTTGTGTTTTGTCTTGCTACAGCTCTGTGTATACGCTCGTGACTCTTCTGGTATTCTGACTCGGCTTGTTACTAAGACCATTCTCTGTGTTTTCCTTCGATCTGACCTTCCGTTGCTGAACCCGGCCCGTGACCTGTGATTCTCTGTCTACTGTTCTGTACTGTTTTGTCCCGTTGTTGTTGACCCAGCTTGCCTGACTACGCTATTGTCATTCTCACCAGCTACACGCCATTGGCGGCGGCCATTACCGCAGCCGGGGTGTCTCGGGGGCCGCGACCTGGTTCCTGGCTGCGTCAAGTCCATCCCCACCATCAGGGGCCCTGGTGAAGGGCAGCCTGGGACTTAGACTCCGCGCCCTGAGGGACTTCGGTCTGTTGGTGGTGGTTGTCATCAGCCAGTGCGTTACCCTGCCACTAGGCCTACCTGTCCGTTCCACAGCCCTGCCCTGACATAATCCTTCAATACTATTTAAATTTAAAATAGGAGCAGGACGTACACTTTATACAAAATTTGGTATACTACACATAGGAATAGCTATTTTAGACCTTATATATGATACTGTGAGCACATTACAATAAAAGTTGGATACTATATATTTTTCAGCAGTTTTTATCAGTTTAGAAATAGAGAAAAAAATAACAACATAGTCTTCCCCCATACACCTAGCACCACATACGCATCTAATCAATGTTCAGCTCACTTTGCCAATATTATCTACATAATGGAACTATATGTCAGCATGGCACCTTGTGTTATCTTTCTCACACCACTGATGAAAATCTTTGCTCTTTTTATTTGCATAAACCGCTTTTATTATAGAGTGCACATGTTCCTCATTACATGTCATACCTCAAAAACATGGTCGATGATTTATATAAAATGAAGACCAGAAACCAGCTGAACTTTCAGAAAAACAATATGAAGGGTTGAATTGTAGCCAACGGGGACCTCAAAAAAGTTTGTCAGAGCTTACTAGGAGAAGACAAGAAAAATGTACACAAGGCCAAGTCTTTACAGTCGTTCCACCCTGGATAGTGTCCAGAGAGCCCTTTGATTGTGTTCTACTATAATAGGTAATAGGAAGATCATGTTTCTTACAGATCCTCATTTAATCTATTGTGGACAAAAGAAAGATACTTTCATATCCATATATAAAAAGAGTTGTAAATATATTTTAAAAGGAGAGGTTGGGATATTTAACATTCGCACTTGAGATATTTTCAAAATAAAGACGGATATATTATAGCTCAATATATTTCTTTGTACTGATATAATGCAGGAAGAAACTAATTGGTTCCAGGTAATGTAGAAAGGTTTAAAAAAGGTCATCAGCTTCAATCTATTCTCACTATAATGCCATTGTAATATGGTTTATCCAGAAGATGTCAGCAAGCATCACAGTGGTAAATAAACCTTGCTATTATCTGTTAGCTTAATTCCTACTATTAAAGCTATTAATTAAAATGCCATAAAAAATCAAGAAAAGCATCCAATCCACATTCAAATTTACTGATTTGGCTGAGTATACTATAGTCTGATCATCCTCGCAGCGAGGAACTCCTTCCTGCAGTGTGCATAAGATAAAACGGTTTCTCTAGCATCCAAAAGTTGGCCATAGACATTAGTGAACAATTGGATGTGAAAGCACAATCTGACCAGCAGTAATGACATATACTCAGTCCTCCAAAGCGTATATGTTTTTGTCTGCATAAAGGGGCAATCATGTCAACTAATCAGGTCAACTTCTAGAGGAAGCAATAGAGTAACCAGTCATTGGATGGCCCTAGACCAGTCAGCCAAGTGTGTTTGATGGTTTCTGCAGAAAAGAGGCTCATCCAAACAGAAAAGAAATGTCAAAGCGCCATGCCCCTGCCACAAAAACTACCTCCAAAGCTACCTCCAATAAGGTTTTGCTGGTGCTCTCATAAAAGCTTAGCAATTGTTGAATGGTTGGAGTCAATCCAGTAGAAAACATTCAAATCATCTGGAGTAAGGGTTAGCTTTTATTTAAAAAACTTTAAAAAAAAATCCAAAGATGTAATCTGGTTACATTTCAAAAAATGTATGGGTCATATGAATTTAGTCACTATTGACCTTTTATTGCAGATTTTTAAAGGGTCATGGCAAAGTAGCAGAGCTTTCCTCAACTTTCAGTGTTTGTATAAAATAGTACAATGAAGGAGAAGGTGCTCATTAAGCAGAAGAGAGGCCAAGCACCTATTACTTTGTAGAACATATAGGAGTGTAGCGGCAGTCATAAAATAGTGAAACTAAAGTTATATCGAAGCAAAATGAAAACAATAATAACATAAATTTCCGTGATATAAAAAAATCTGTGAGAAATTTTTAAATAATCCACCACCATAAAGTGCTCTTGCTTTCAGCATTTTGGAGTTGGGGCACGTTGCGCCGTGGATCTGCTTTTTGTTGTTCGGTACACAATATTTTCTTAGATGCTCCATTAATAAGGACAAATACTGTAGATTGTCATGAGGGACAAGAAGATTGGGACCCCAGTTTAGTCCCTTGGACCAGTACTTTCAACTTGGCTAGATAGAATGACATCTGTCTACACAGTCATATGTCAAGACACATGCACCTTTGGAATCCTTGCTTAACCACTTGCCTACCAGGCACTTATACCCCCTTCTTTAGCAGGCCAATTTTCAGCTTTCAGCGCTGTTGCACTTTGAATGACAATTGTGCAGTCATGCAAGATTGTACCCATATGAAATTTTTATTATTTTTTTCTCGCAAATAGAGCTTTCTTTTGGTGGTATTTTATCGCTGCTGGGTGCTTTACTTTTTGCGCTATAAACAAAAAAATTGCAAAAAATTTGAAAAAAAAAAAGTTTCTTAGTTTCTCTTATAAAATCTTTCAAACAGGTAATTTTTCTCCTTCACTGATGTGCGTTGATGAGACAGCACTGATGGGCACTGATAGACGGCACTGATGGGCACTGATAGGCAGCACTGATGGGCACTTATAGGCAGCACTGAAGGGCACTGATAGGCAGCACTAATGAGGTGGCATGGATAGGCGGCATTGATAGGCAGCACTAATGAGGTGTCACGGATAGGTGGCACTGATAGGCGGCACTGATGATGGGTACTGATATACAGCACTGATAGTTGGCACTGACTGGCATCACTGCTGGGCACTGACTGGCGGCTCTGCTAGGCATTGACTTGCGCAACTGCTGGGCACTGACTGGCACAACTGCTGGGCACTGACTGGTGGCACTGACTGGCACAGGTAGGTGGAACTTCTGGGCACAGGTGTGTGGCACTGCTGGGTGGCACTGCTGGGCACAGGTAGGTGGCACTTCTGGGCACAGGTGTGTGGCACTGCTGGGCACTGCTGGGCACAGGTGGGTGCACTGCTGGGCACAGGTGGGTGGCGCTGGTGGGTGTCACTGCTGGACACCGATCATCAGGGCACTGATCATCACTGATCATCCTCGGAAAGTGCAGCCGAGAACCAGCAATTGCATTTCCCGGTGATCAGCGTGTCATTGGACACGGCTGATCACGTGGTAAAAGGCCGCTGTGATTGGCCTTTTACCACATCAGGTGATCAGCTATGTCCGTAGGACACAGCAATCACGGAGATCATCGGGGGCGCGCAGGAGAGCGTGTTCTGGGAGGACGTTATATGACGCCCTCCCAAAACTGGCCAGGCCGCAGTGTAGCCATCATTCGGCTATCTGCGGTTGGCAAGTAGTTAAATACACAGGCGTTTATGCTGTTGTAGTGGCAGCCATCATTTCTGGTGAGTCTCATTGAGAGACGTTGACAGCATTTGTGAATTACTTTGCTGCAAGCAAGAGTGGACGGACATTATTGAAATTTTTCTCACTGATTTTTTTTATATAATGGACGTTTATTATATTATTGTTTTCATTTTGCTTCAATATAACTTTAGTTTCACTACTTTATGACTGGCGCTACACTCTGATATGTTCTACTTATATTTATTTAGGTTTTTATACTACCTGTTGGTGTCAGCTGCCTAATACTTCTAGTCAGCATGGATATTGTTTGTTTTATTTCACTTATTACTTTGTATCTAGTCTACAGCCGAATACTGTATGTAGTATGGAGATTTTGCTTTGTATACATAAAATCTTTTGTATACATAAAATTCAGAAAGTAGCCAGCAATGCCAATCTTTAAATTCTTCTCAACAAAATTTCATTTAAGGTTATTAAACAATCATGCACATTGCATTTGCACACCCCTTGTATTTGGAACTCTATTGTTTCTATATTATCTGCTACCATCATATGTAATTTGCAAAAGATATTCTTCTACAAATGATCCAATTCAATATTCAAACACTGCACTGCAAAGTCTACAGATTATCCCACTTTATAACTTCATTAGTTAAAATCTCATTTGGCTTGGGGGAAGGGGGGGTAGAATTACATACAAACACTTACGTAATTCTTTGCTCCCCTGGAAGCCAGTACACCTTATGTCAAAGAGCTGCAACCACATGGGTGACAAAGTGAAATGGAAGCATTGCACAGAGATGAGAAAGCCTGCAGGAGGGACAATAAAAGATGAGGTTTTTTTTTACCTTATTCCTAATTACCCCAGCCTAATGAAAATGTACCCATGCAGATTTGGGGGGGGGGGGCACCCTACGTGTGTAAATGTAACAGTAGCCTGGAGTGCGGATTTAATCTTTGCTGACTTTATTCATTTTTGTACCTGGTTATTACAGTCTAACCTCCACTAGTAAAAAAATTTTCATCACAGATCTTTAGAATTTTTTTACATAGATAATTCTGGCATTTGTAATGAATTACTGCTTTCTTGGTTTGCCCCAAAGCTTTCAGTCTAGGTGCCCTGCGTCTTTTATGAACCTTCCATCACCCCTGGGAGGCCTATAAACTGAAAACACCTTTGGTCCCAAGGTACAATTAGTCCAACATTGCTCTTAGCGAAGTAAGCAACCTACACTTTCAAATAAAAAATCTGCAATATTATTATACGTACAGAACCACTTTAACCATGGTACAAAAAGAAAAAGCAAGAATCAAAGACGCAATCATGGTGGACTTTTTAGGCAATATTCAGAAGAAATCTAATATCAATATAAGGCATTTAAAAAGTGAGAAAGAAAAAAAGAAGACTGGAAAGGGGCTAAGGTTTTTACTAGTACTATAGTTGGCTGGGTCAAAAACAAGACATGTCAATTGACTTGAACCTTTCTATGTAACATTCTGTATCTCATTACTTAAATACTGTCTTTTACAACATGTAAAAGAACAGGTGGAGGACATATGTGACCCTTTTAAAACCAGTACTTGTATTACATTGTAAATCACTTAACCAATCAATAGAAAAATGTCTTAAATCCTAGTTCTACCTAGACGACATAGAATCATGCCTTTAATCTACTGAAGAAAAGGTAGCATGATAATACAGCAGACCTCTATATCATTAAATCAAAATCCTACATGAAAAATGCAAAGATCAGCCCAGGGCATAATTTACCAACTTTAGGATATCTCTAAATTCCCTCCAGAGGTGGATGACATCTCAGAGGCGGGCCCTCACTACAGCCTATTCTGTTTCCCCTTTTGATGTTGCAATAGCCAAGTGATTCGCTGCCAATGTATGGCATGTGTGATACACATTTACATTTAGAAACATGAAATATTGTCTAGGCTTGAGATTCCAAATCTTTATTTCAGTAAGGAGATTTGTAAAAAGGGTGCCTTCCAGTCGTGCACTACACAAGCATACCTTCCAGAAAAACTCAACTGTTATTAGAAAATCAATATAACATTTGTGCCTGCTGTGTACTCCATTTTGTAATTTAATTTGATTAAAATTGACCTTTATGCTCCAATCTACAGCTTGCTGTGTTTTTTATACTTTGCAACCATGAAAACACCAAAAAAAATGATTTCCTGTTGGTGACTGGTTTACTGCTTTTTCCAGTATTTTTTCTATTAATTACAAAAAAAGTAATCTCCCCCATTAATTAATAAATTATTTTGTTGTCTTTCTCAGAAGTTCCAGAACAGAAGCAGGTAAAAATCTACTAAAATTATTTCAATGCATACAAGTGAAGAGGAGAGCATTATTTTCATTTTAAAGGATAAGTTCACCTTTAAAAAAAATAAAAATAAATGCACTTTTTTTGCAGGTAAGAAAAATGTGCATTTTTTTTTTTAATTGGAGCCTGGAACACATTGTATCTGTGATCAGCAGATTGTGATACACAGAACTTGGAATATTTCATGTTTCACCGTATGCGTGTGTGATTTGCAATTATAGGTTGATGCTACACTCTGGATGTCTTGCTCCTGAAGAAAGAAGAGCGATGATCTGTGTAAGTGTAGGGCAAACCCATGAACTCAATACCCTGATGAAGTTACCAAGAGTTATAAGACACCTTTTTCATGACCTTCTAGCATCAACCTATAATTGCAAACCACACAGGCATACGGTGAAACCTGAAATATTTTGAATTTACCTTCTAAGACAAACTTCCAAGTTGTGTGAAAGTCAATACAAAACAAATGGTCATAGGAGACCATATACATTTACAGATGGAGCCTTCACACAATCCAACTTTTATGTCTGACCTAAAATTTATTTTTATTTTTTGGAAAAGTAAGGAAAAGTTGGATCATCTGACGATAAGGAAAGACTTTTGTTCTGGATTCTATTCCCAGCAAGAAATATATCTGCATGAAGATTGTGTGTCCTCTAATTGTTTTACTTGTACAACTTGACAAACCAGCATGTCAACCAGTTTCTGGATTAAACTGTATACGTATGTGGGTTTGTCTGAAAGAGTGTGGTAGTCATACCTCCCAACGTCCCTGAAAAGGTAAGGGACACAAAGTAGCATGAAGTACATAGGCAAAGGTCACACCCCTTCCATGCCCCCAATTACATGGACCAATTAGAAAATAATAAAAGAGGGAGGTTGCAAATATTCTAGGTATCCACTTTTCTATAAGTATAGATGGTCCAATAACCAAACACAGTATGGCCATATACTCAGGAGTATACTTAGCCAGACTGGATTGATCCAATTTCCAGTGAATAAATGTTGTTCTGTTTTAGTCCAAATAAATGGCTCCTTTTCTGTTATGAGTTAATTCCTTAGCTGGATATAATAATATACCTATTTGGACTAAAACAGCACAACATTTATTGACTGGAAATTGGATCAATCCAGTCATATTTGAACTGTTTTTGCTATCCCATCTTTGCCCATGCAATATCTGCCAATAATTTTAGGAGGCTAGCCCAGGGGTGGGCAAACTTTTTGACTTGAGGGCCGCAATGGGTTCTACGAGTTTATATAGCGCCAAAGGGTTTGCTCAGCGCTGTACAATAGGGGGGGACAATACATGGCACAGTACAACAAAGACAGACAGCTACGAGGGGTAAGAGGGCCCTACTCTTACGAGCTTACAATCTAGTGGGAGGGGGTAAAGGTACAGTAGGAAGTGGCTGGGGGGGATAAGTGGTAGGAGGAATGAGGGAGGATGGCCGTTAGGTGAGGGTGGGGTAGGCTTCCCTGAAGAGATGGGTTTTGAGGGAGCGCCTGAATGTGAATAGAGAAGGCGACAGTCTGATGGATTGGGGCAGTGAGTTCCAGAGGATGGGGGAGGACCTGGAAAGTCCCAGTCGTGCATGGGAGGAGGAGACCAGGGAGCAGGATAGAAGGAGGTCCTGTGAGGAGCGAAGGGTACGGGTAGGGTGGTACCTGGTGATCAGATTGGTGAGGTAGTCAGGGGCAGTGTTGTGAACGGCTTTGTAGGTCAGGGTAAGGAGTTTAAATTTGATGCGTTGGGCAATCGGGAGCCAGTGGAGGGAGAGGCAGAGGGGGTGTGGCAGAGGTGGAGTGGGTGGTAAGGTGGATGAGTCTGGCAGCTGAGTTCAGGATGGTCTGGAGCGGGGAGAGCCTGCACTTGGGTAGGCCAGTGAGGAGGGAGTTGCAGTAGTCAAGGCGTGAGATGATGAGGGAGTGTACTAGAAGTTTGGTGGTGTCTGGGGTGAGGAAGGAGCGGATCTTGGCAATGTTGCGAAGATAGCCTGCATGTGTTTGTGAGTGATTTGACATGCGGTTGGAGGGAGAGGTTCGCCAAGAATGACGCCAAGGACTTTGGCTTGCGGGGCGGAAGTATAGTGTTGTTGGTGATGATGGATTTAATCTTGAGGAAATGTAGCGACATCCAGTCTGAGATGTCATTTAGGAGGTGAGTGATGCGGGCGGAGATAGTGGGGGTGAGGTGAGGGGGTGGAGAGGTAGATTTGGGTGTCGTCAGCATAGAGAGGTGATAGTTGAGGGTTCATATATTGGACCCGGGGGCCGGACCAAGAGTAGATGAATGATGTGTATGTGTGTCATCCATAAGTAAGTATAGTAATATTCCCCCATAGTAAGCATTATAGGGTGTCATCCCCCATATAGTAATCCT